TGTGTGTGTGTGTGTGTGAGAGAGAGAGAGAGAGAGGGAGAGCAAGAGAGAAAGAACAGTGTGAAGACTAAGGTAGCATTTGGTAGAATTTTTTAAATATGATTTGAAAATAGAGTCGTATTTTGAGTTTGTGAGTTTTGGAATTATGATTTGAGTGTGAAAAATTTGTTTGGTGAATGAGTTTTGAAAAGAGTATTAAATTGAGTGAGAATTTTTGATGTGACATAATATCTAATACAAAAACTTACAACTCATAACCAAACACACAACTCAAAAATCTATTAAAAGCTCATAAATTTTTTTTTAAAAATCCGAAAATATTGTTTTATTAAACATAAAAAAAAGGTGCCAATTGCAAAAAATAAATAATAAATAAATAAATTTGCCATGTTCCGGTTGACCGGTCGGACGACTGGTTAAGCCAAATTTAAAAAAAAATTAATTGAAAATCTCGCCTGACACAGAGTTTTTTGTTTGTTGTGGAAATATAATTTGAAAACCCTATCCAAACATGGTATTAGAATGTGTGGGTAGAATTATAGTTTGAAAACCCTTCCGAACACAACCTAAATTTCCCACTAAAATTTTGAACACATTTGCCGACTAAATTTTAGTCACTGAACATAGATTTTTGGTGACTAAATTTTTAACAGCCAAAGATAAAAATTAATTTTTTAATTTTCATTCGGCGACTAAATAATTTTAAGTCAAAACCAACTATTTAGCAAGTAAAATTTTATTTAGTCGCTAAAAATAGATTTTTGCGACTAAATTTTTAGTTGCCAAAGATAAAAATTAATTTTTTATTTTTCATTCGGTGACTAAATAATTTTAGTAGCCAAAACTAACTATTTGGCGACAAATTTGTTTAGTCGCTGAAAATATATTTTTGGCGACTAAATTTTTAGTCACCAAAGATAAAATGTAATTTTTTATTTTTGAAATTTTTAAAAATATTTAAGAGGCGCAACGTACAATAACGGGAGATGGACTAGTTACTGTTTGGAATTTTTAAAAATAATTTTGAGTTTTCAATTTGTATTTTTATATTTTTAGTGATTTTTAAAAATATTTTAATCAATTTTTTAAAACTTTTTAGATCCATTTAATCTTGATATATTAGAAAGTATAAAATTTATACAAAAATCTTTAAAAAAATTATTGAATACAATAAAATACAAAAATTTATTAAAATGTATTAAAAGAGGGCATCAAGATGATAAAGAGATTTTTTTTTTTTTTTTTTTTTGAGTAGGATAAGAGTTGTTAAAAAAATAAAATTAAATAAATAAATAAATTATTTATAAGATAAGGGAAAATATCTATATATGCAATAATGTTATATGTAAACTATAAAAGTGTACAAATAAACTCCTTAATTATAAAAATGTATCAATTGAACCCTCTAATAGAAGGGGTCAAAGTGAAACATATCAATAGTTTAGGGGCAAAGTAATACTTCTTAATAATTTAAGAGGTCTATTTATATGTTTGTATAATTTAAGGAATCAAAATAATATATATATTTTTTTTATAGTTTAAGAGATATGTACGTAAATACTTACTTTAAAAAAAAAGAGTCAATAATCAGCCACGCTTGGAAGTGTTGATTTCAGTGGAAAAGTTTAAAAAAGTATTAGAAAGTTTAAAAATTTAACTCATAAAGAAGTCCATTTTTTTTTCCCATTCACTCTATTTTATACAAAATTTTTAGTAAAAAGTTAAAAAAAAGTCTTTTTCAAACTTATTTATGTCTTCAATAATGTTACGCATACATAGGACCAAGCACAAAACCAAATACAGAAATTGTTCATCTGAATGACCGGCTGGATGACCAAGCACTCGACTAGATGACAAGATGATAACCTCGGTCGACAAAATGATAGTCGCGGTCGATAAGATGACAACTGTGATTGACAAGATGATAGTCGTGGTCACCCACCTTGTCATCCGGTCAGCTGTTTGGTCGGTTGTTCGGATGAACAGTTTGTGTTTGGTTTTGTATTTGGTTCTTTGTGTGCATATCATTATTGTTATTTTTTTTTACCTCACATTTTAGTCAAAAAGTTACTAAAAAAATCGTTTCCTAAATGGGCCTCATATAAACATGACTCTTCTAAAGGTTTAATCCTAAGGAGACATCATAAGTTCAATTCTCCCTAAAAGGGAATTGAATTAGGAGAAAAACACAAGAATGGGGAGATGAACTCTTATAAATGTCAATCTACCTAATAAAATTATCTTACAATAGAAACTCCTATATAAAAGAATACAAGTGAAACAAAATAAAGAATAAATTATACTGACCTTTTTGAGATTAAAAAGAAAAATATCTACAAATTTAACATAATTATATTGAGGGCTTTTTTAATAAGTTAAACCAAATGAAATTAATACAGAAAATATAAGGACACAAGGATAAGTAATGATAAAGTATACAATTAGTCGCCAAAGATAAAAAGTAATTTTTTATTTTTCATTAGGCGACTTAAATCATTTTAGTAGGCAAAATTAACTATTTAGCGACATTTTTTTACTTGTTGAAAATAGATTTTTGGTGACTAAATTTTCAGTTGCCAAAGATAAAAAGTAATTTTTTATTTTTCATTCGGCGATTAAATAATTTTAGTAGCCAAAACTAACTATTTAGCGACTAACATTTTTTTTAGTCATTAGTAGCCAAAACTAACTATTTGGCGACTAACATTTTTTTTAGTCGCTGAAAATAGATGTTTGGAGACTAAATTTTTAGTCACCAAATATAAAAAGTAAATTTTTATTTTTTAATCGGCGACAAAATAATTTTAGTAGCCAAAACTACATATTTGGCGACTAAAAATTTTTTTTTAGTCACCAATTGTGTCATTTTTAGCGACTAATTTTTTTTAGTTGCTAATAATCAATATATCCTGACTAAAAAAAAATGAGTAACTAAATATTATACTTTTGCGATTAAAAAGTTTTTGGTTACCAATTCCACAAATTTTGGCAACTAAATTTTTTTTAGTCACCAAAAGTGCATTTAGTTGGAGTGACTATTCATGATTTCAATTCTTTTGTTTTTCTTTTTAGTTTTGTAATTTAAGATTAAAATTTAATTATTTTCATTACTTCTTTAATTCCTTAGATTGCAAGAATCTATCAAATTTAATACTATATTTTGTTTATGATTTTAATGGATAAATAATTCAATAAAGAATAAAGTTTAAGATGGTTAAATGTATATTTTGGTTTGTCGTGCTCCACCAATAAGGTTATGCAAGTTTGCCATTATATTAACAATATATGTTAATTTTATTTTTATTTCATGTTACGAAAAATAAAATCAATCATTTTAAACATAATACAACTAAATTTATCTTGGGCGGAGTAAGAGGAAATCAATTGATTTTATGTATATTATAAAATCATAATAGGTATTAAGTTATTTGTGCATAGTTTTACAAAACTTTTAAATTTACAAATAATACTCTATTTGGTTTGAGTTTTCAAAAATAATTTTCTGAGTTTTCAATTCATATTTTCATATTTTTAATGATTTTTTTAAAGCATTTTTATTTTTATTTTTTAGATCCACGTAATCTTGATATACTTTAAAAGTATAAAACTTGTACAAAAATATTTTGAAAAAATCATTGAATACAACAAATACGAAAATGTACTAAATTTTTTTATTTTTTGATTATTTTTTTTTTTATTTATTTTTTTGTATTTGGTGAATATTTTTAGAGTTTTTCATAAATATTATACTATTTAAGTGCATCTAGATTAGATGTATTTAAAAAATAAAAAAATGTTAAGTATATATATATTTACCAAACTGGATTTTAGTTTTTTTTGAAAAAAAGTATTATATTGCACTAAACAATTATTTTTTCAATTATATCTATTTAATCAAATTGATAACATCTATTAAGAATTAAACAAAGGACAAAAACAGTCTATCCAAAAGGGAATGGGTCTTTTAAAATGGGCATCAACCCCAGTCATTTTGAAGGGAATGAGTAAGACTTCTTTCCCCTTCAATTCCAGTCTAATTTCTAAAAAAATATTATTAATTAAATTAAATTGATACAATATGAAAAATTAAGATAAAATTGATCTAATTAAAACTATATTTTACCCTATATTTTTTAGTTCGATTCTCCTAATCAAGAGAAACAAACGCCACCTAACTATAGGTTGTTTTGGGAACTGATTATTTTAGTTGAATTTTTTATTTTTTATGAACGTACATTAAAAAGTAGAGAAAACAGTTACACTTTTTTGTTGTTACTTTTTGACTATTTTAGCGCCAAAACAATTATGTATATGATCCTTTTTTCATGTTAAGGAAAAACTATTCAATGCTCCTAGAGTGTCATGTATTCATACTCCTTCACTAATCATCATACGCCATGCCCTTTCATGTTTCAATCACCTGACACAAAATCATGAGTCTTACTTTTTTCAAACAATCACAATACGTGAAAACACCATATGGCCATTCTTCAAGAATACCCAATAACCACTCCATGGTAAGACTACACAAATTTCTACACATATAGGTCATGGCTCCATAGGATGAAAGGAATTAAAGTATGGTGTAATTGAGTGAGGAGATTACTAATGTACTAGTATTAGGTTAGAGATGTAGGATAAAAAATGTTACAGGATTAGTAATGCTAGAGATAGTATTATTATATAAAATTAATATTTTAAAATTTTTAGTATTTTCAATATTATAATTATTATTATTTTTTTTGGTTCTAAAAAATATAAATTTTGCTTAAAACATTTAAAAATTCACTAAATATAAAAAAATATATTTATAAAAAAATTTAAGTATTTCTTTCACTAATAAATTATTTAAAACATAATAATATTAAAAATGGTCTTTTATTTTCAATTCAAAGGGATTGGATTAGCAAACCCAACTCCCCAATGGGTATGCTAATCCCATTCTTAGGGAGGATCGGTAGTCTAATTGAACTAATAGTCCTACAACATTTTAATACAACCAAATATGATTTTGATGACTCCACTAATTACTCTACTAACCGTATCTCCAATGGATTGCTAAAACACTTGTTATTGCCAAAATATGGCAACTTGGGCATAGATGAGTTCTCCAATGGCATCCTATAGCAGCTGCCAAATTTGGTATTTGCCAAATCTTGTGTCAAAGTTGGCACAAGCTTTGGTAGCTACCAAATCTGCCAGCTCACCTAAAACCAGCTGCTTTCCTTCCTTCCTCCCCTCTTCTCTCATCCTTTCCTAGAAAAAACTCCAAAACAAATAATTTAGAATTCACCAATTTGTTTAGGGTGAAGTACCAATAAATCCCAAAATGTGATCTTGTTTCCTTACTTTTTTTTTATGAACCCAAATGTCCCATTAAAGTGAAAATTATACAAAAAGATAGTCACTTACATGTTTGGATTTAATTTTTTTGGGATAAAATGAGTTTCTCCAAATGTAAAATTACACATTTGGGCAATCTGCACTATAGAGGTTTTGGATTTTCCATCCTTCTGGAACAAATCTCACATTATGAACAAAAATGTAACACTCCAATAACTTAATACTCCAATGTAGCACACTAAAAAACTCTTTGGTGTGCTTTTCTCAAATGTCAGACTCCAATCAATGTAATCCCAAACATAACACTCTAGTGTAACACACACAAAACACCAAAAAACTCCCTCATGTACTTTTTTCAAATATAGCACTCACAATTTGAAATTATACATTAGCTCAAAGCTTATTAATGCATTTTTATACTTTTTTTGGAATGGTTTGAAGAGTCCCACATCCTTTTTTTGGAGTGCTACAATAGATTGTTACATTTGAAAAAAGTACACTAATGAGGTTTTTTTTGTATTACATTGGAATGTTACACTAAGGAATTTTTTTGGAGTGTTGTATTGGAGTATTACGTTTCCACGTCCTTTTTTTTGGGAGTGCTACATTGGAGTGTTACGTTTGAAAAAAGTACACTAATGAATTTTTTTTTTTTATATTACATTGGAGTGTTACACTAAGAAATTTTTTTAGAGTGTTGTATTGGAGTGTTGCGTTTGGAAAAAATACACTAAAGATTTTTTTTTGAAGTGTTACACTTTGAAATTATACATTTGTCCAAATTTTATTAAGGAGTTTTTGTACTCTTTCTGAAATGTTTGAAATGTTTGAAGAATCTCATATTTTAAGTCATTTTTTTACTTCTTTTGAAATTGTTTTTAAATAAAAAAGATTCTCATATAAAAATCATCCCAAATTTAATTCCCATAGATTGTGTGCTTTCTAGCACAAGAAAAAAAGAGCATGAAACATAATATAAATAAGAGTATGTAACAGTAAATCTAATTTCTAAATAATATATTAAATCTATACTTCCAAAATCAATGAGCCTAATTGGTCTATAAGAAAATCCTTAGGAATAAATAGATCTTCATTCCTCAATATGAGATTTATAGATAAATTTTTCATTTGTTCATACAAATTTAGCATTTTTTTTTTTTTTGCTAGCAAAATTCACCAAAACTTGCTCAACAGATCAGACAACAACAACAACAACAACAATCATCAAGTAATTTCAAACAAATTTGAAGCAATCTCAAACAAATTTCAAATAATCTTAACAAATCTCAAGAAATCTGAAGCGAATTTTAACAAAAAAGAATACCTGGATTTGAAGATGGTTGACGAATTTCACATGATTTCAGCATTCTAAAGAGTCGGCTTCATCTTCTTCAGAAAGCCAATTTGGATGCTCTGAGTTTCATTTCAAGGGTTTCATCTTCTTCATGAAGTGATTTCAAGGGTTTCGACTTGATTCAATCAAGGGTTTCGGTTTATTTCAGACATCGATCGAATATACAATAGGGTTTCGATTTCAAGGGCTAGGGTTTAGAGAGAGAGATAGAACAGAGGGTTAGAGAAGATGAAGCCGAAATCCTATGTTCTATCGAATAATACTTTGTGATCTGTGATCTGTGATCCTCATCGAAAGATAAAGAAACATGGGCGTGATTCTGGGATTGTGTGAGACAGAGATGGAGAGAAAGACAAAGAAAGAGGGGAGTGGTTGTAGTGATGAAGATCTGGTGGTGGTGGTAGGGAAAAGATGAGGGAGAAAGATGACAGATTGGAGATAGAGACGACTACTTGCCAACGAAAAGAGTTAATGAGGGAGAAAAAGCAAGGTGGTTGTGAGCCGTTGGATGTGAATGGTGGGGTGGATTTATATTTTTTGTTTTCTAAATTTTTTTATATTTGTGGTCAATTGTAAATATTTAAATTTTTTTTTTTTTTAGAAAGAATTATAAAAAGATCAGCAAAGACAAAAAGAAAAAGAAAAAAGAAAAAAAATCACTCAAAAAATTATATCCAAACACCACCTTAAAAATAGGGGGGAAAGTTGATTGGGAATATGCCAAAATGGCATTGCACTATTAGAGTACCATTAGTATAATTTGATATTTTACTACTATAACATACTAAATTATAGTTTTGACAATGCTATTCTGACAATTAACATTGGAGATGCTCTAAGTTGGCAAAGCCGCCGCTTTAGGTTCCGAAAATTTGATTAAAAAAAAGTTTTAAAATTTTGTTAACTATTATGTTAGCTTATAAAAAAAAAATCTTACTAGAATTTAACGATTTTCAACAAAATTCAGTTATGATTTAAAACTAATAGATAGTTGATGTGGTATATTATTAAAACTAATAGATAGTTGCTTTTTATCGAAAGAAACCAAAAAACTTACTGATGTGGTGAATTCTTCGAAATTATTGAATTGTTATTTTTTAAATGTATAGATTATATATAAAATACGATTGATTATACTACTTACAGTTGTTATTTTCAAATTAAAATTTTTATATTCTTTAGCATCTTCTGGATACTTTTTCTCAATAAATTTTATTTATAAAAAAAAAAATCTTATCTTTGCTCAACTATGTTAAATGAAATATTAAATGGATTAGTAATTTTATAGCTAAAAATGCAAGAAGAATGATGTTTAAGTGATTTTTGTTATAGTTTGTTCATTTTTTATTGATACTTTAGTTCAGATTATTTTAATCATTTTTCTTATTGTAATGTATACTATGTTGAAAGGTTCTATGTTGAAAGTTCACTGTAATAACCCACATTCATATCCTAGTCATGTTCCTGCACACTTGCATGTTTCTGTTTTGTTAAGCTTGCATTTGCACATTTTGACTTGTTCTGCTTAAGTAAGATCCATGCCTTGTAATTACGGATTACTGGCCATCACGGCACCAAACTACTAGGGGCGGTTTGGGGGCGTGACATTCACTTTGTGTCTCAAAAAAGTTAGAGTTGACCCTGTTACAGGGTGATTATTCAGTAGTTCGTGAGTATGGTCACGTGATACTGTATGGTAGTATGATTGATGGAGACATTGGGGCATTAATTATTTATATTGGTAATTGAGGAATATGAGGTGGTGAGGGAGTATGTTTACGTAGTACTTTGAGAGTGTCTAATAATTTTCCTTGTCAAGATTATTTTGGGTAAAGTGAATGTATGTGGGGGTTTATATATGAAATGAATCTGAGCCATTAATGTAAAATTTTGGATAATTATGAGTTTTTATGTTTAGGTCTGTAGCATTATTGGATTGAAAAAGTCTGAGTTCTAGATTTAACCACCTAGATTTTTTAGGGTGAGAGATTGTGTGGTGGATATTGAATTTGTGTAGTGTAAGATTCATGTACAAAATAGAATGTAAAGACCCAAATAAAATAAAAATGTGGTGGAAAATTATTTGAAGGGGACTTGCTCACTTTTCGGTGGGAAAGTGTTAAAGAAAAATAAAATAAAATATAAGAGATAAGTGAGTGTTGGTGTGGGGCTATTAAAAAAAAAAATGCTGGAGTGGGGTCAAAAGGGGTGGAATATGATGATGTTTTCGATGGTGAGAGATACAGAGTGTAAAGAAATATTTAATAAAAATGTGGTGGAAAATTATTTGAAGGGGACTTGTTCACTTTTCGGTGGGAAAGTGTTTAAGAAAAATAAAATAAAATATAAGAGATAAGTGAGTGTTGGTGGGGGCTATTAAAAAAAAATGTTGGAGTGGGGTCAAAAGGGGTGGAATATGATGATGTTTTCGATGGTGAGAGATACAGAGTGTAAAGAAATATTTTTTTTTAGGGAGAAGAGATCAGGTCACATATGTTTTAAAAGATCCAAAAGCCAACTCAGTGAGCCTACTGAGTCAACATCATCTGTGTCTTCTTCTTCAAAAGAAGAACAAGTGAGAGAGGAGAGTGAAGCGAAAACTCTGGTTTATGGGTTGAGAGGGAACCCCAAAGGGAGCCTCAGATTAGTAGATCCCGAGTTTTACAATGGAGAGTAAGGAAGAGGATGTGAAGCTTAGAGCTAACAAGTTCACAGAGAGCCAACTGTAAATCAGAAAGCATTATAACGCAGCGGAAAAAATATTTAAATCATACCTTTAGATGATAGAACCTCGTGAGTAAATCACGTGCTATCTGAATCTGATCAATCAACCCAGCAATGGAGTAATATTACAGATGAATATCACCCACACAAGTCATAGTGCAAAATGGCTCTTGATTGTTGTATTTTGGGAGAGAGTCAGTATATGGGTGAGAGACTCAGTATATAGGAAAAACATATGACATACGTTATTCTTCTCTTAAGCACCCATATCCCATATTATATCGGATATATAAGATATCTATTCATATCAGTTATATCAGATATATAAGATATCTATATCATCTATCTATATCAGTTGATATGATAGATATAGATATCTTGAGTGGTTATCCAAATAGGTTTTGAATTCAAATTCAAACTTATTTGGATAAGGTTCAAAAGGTTCAAAGAAGGGTCACGCCTCATGGGCGCCCAATTTCTAACATCTCCCACTCGCACATGAGTTGGCATGACACTGCCACATCTCTATCTCAATCTCCTCAAAAATAAACAATCTCATACTAGCCAATGCACCGTGCGACTGCTGAGAACACATGTATGTAGGAGCTATATACTAGAAACTCAAAATGAGCCAGCATAGAGACATCAACCCAAAAGGAACAAAAATAGTGTGTCATATACCCCAGACCCATCTAATTACACCGGTCCAAAAAAACATCTCTAATCCCTCAAAAAGAACATGTTTGACCCTCTTAATTCTTGCAATATATTCACACTTAATCCACCTCTCATACAGAGCGATGGGAGTTACCGGCAATGAATATACAACAGTGGTGTAATACTAGACAATCTTCCCTTTGCCCTCATGTCATTTAGTTTAGGATTGACCGCTTTCCCAGTGATGTCCCTTAAGGCCGAATCATACATGACCGCAGACAACATACCAAAGTAGCAAAACATCAACCCCTTACCTTATGACATAGTCAAAATTCACAAAAGGGTACATAAATGAAAGTCATATCAATAATGACATGTAAGACTCATACGGTGAGGAAACAGGGATCCATTCTCTCACCTCATTACTCGGTCGCCAAGCACATATAGTATGAATACATGCTACGGTGGAGTAACTCTTCCAAAAGAGTGACGTCATACTCGATACACCGTACAGATATTAGTCTAGTCGCTTTCTAGCGCCTAACCCGAATTCTCTATTTGCTCGCCTTCCAAGCGCCAAATGAGATCTCGCATCTGGCTAATCATAACAGGCACAACATGGAAAGTGGGTACTAACATCCATGTTTGGTCCTTAACACGACCTCATCTTGGTTATAACCAAGGCGACATACTTTTGTGTTCCATTTCTTTGAATTGAATAAGGAAGTATTTAGCAAATTAATATGCTTCTAATAAAGCATTTTATCCACAGTCTAATGAGCAAGGTCAATGTCTAAACAACTCAGTTGACCATTTACCAAAGATAACACTTATCATGCCGAATACGCTCACATAGCGTACTTTAGGCTCCCACAACAAAGTAAAGATCAAGGAATATAGGTCATCTGTTTCTCCCAAAGACAATTCGAGGATTCACTTAATAGCTAAGGCTCTGGTTTTTACCAATAGCTAAGGCTCTGGTTTTTACCAAAGACAATCCGAGGATTCACTCAATAGCTAAGGCTCTGGTTTTTACCAAAGACAATCCGAGGATTCACTCAATAGCTAAGGCTCTGGTTTTTACCAAAGACAATCCGAGGATTCACTTAATAGCTAAGGCTCTGGTTTTTACCAATAACTAAGGCTCTGGTTTTTACCAAAGACAATCCGAGGATTCACTCAATAGCTAAGGCTCTGGTTTTTACCAATAGGTAAGCCAATGGATTTGCAATTTTGCATCTAGAATCATTCTAAGATATTCCATATGTAAATCATCGAAGACAAACCAAGAATTTTCCCAAAACAATCCCTAAGGATTGTACATCCGAGCATATGAATTACATCACCCATGTCCATCATATCTAAAATAGAGGACTGCCCACCCTAGGTGGCGACAACCTTGTAAATACTTGGCTCATGATGACTAAGTAAGGAAAAACTTCTTTTAGACCATTGATCATCCCTCAGTGGTCTTCATCGATCATCGTTGGCCTATCATGGCTTGACGAAATCTAAGAACCACTGTTTGGATAACTGTTTTAGGCTGTAAAAGATTTATTGGAACTAGCAGCCTTTTTGCGCTCCTAACTTTTCACCATAAACGCAGAAGGTAAATCCCTACGGATCTACTTATCCAATTCTCTATTGAGAAATCGGGTCACAATGTCCATAAATCAATGTTCCGAACTTATGTCAATCATAGCCTAAGTCAAAATAACCTCACTTCCCAGGAGGAAGTCTTCTCATGGTCTACACTTTCCTCAATAGTGCGACTTTTCGGTATCTAGCGAGCCTTATGCCTCAACAATGACTATCCAAATTACGCATAACTTTAAACAGTTTCGCGTCATAATGGAAAGTCAACCAAATTATAGAAATGGTTAATCCTCAAAGACTTTGTCTTAAACTGCGCAACATTAATCCACTTTCTAAAAACAGGGGACTAGAGCCTTTGGCATTATCCTATGCTCTTTATTATCTTGCGGAGCAATCATGAATGTTTCCTTTTCAATCACCCAGTGATGACGTGGAAAATTTTCACATTTACTACCACGCAACTAAGAATATGGAGAATTCTTCTCTAATGGAGTAATCCATTAGTAGGCAAATCGCTCCCATTGTCCCTAGGATATTGGAAATTTCTTTCC